TGCAGAAACCAAAGCTAGGACTACATCTACTTGAATCTAAAGCAGAAAATTACATTAACAATTCTAATAAAAAAGATATAAAGCTAAGAAATGAAGTAAATAAGCAAAGAATTGAGAAAAGAGTATGAAATAAAACCTAAAAGAACCTAGAAATATCTAACAACATGTCCTAAACTATGTACAACCTATAAAATCTAAGACTGGACAGAATGCAACCTAAAAAGAACCTACCAAACTAAAACAGATTAATATTTAAAAGAAAGAAAGCCTAAGACAATCCTAAACAGTGACAATGAATGAAAAAGAACCTAGGAAGTTATTTCTAAAAACCAAAACAAAACCCAAAGACTAAAAATCTAATGTAAAAATCTAAAATAGGGAAGCAAAATCAGAAAATAAAAGAAACCTACAGTTAGTTCTATTTACAGAAACAATTTGAAAGAATTAAAGCATCCTAAAAACTATCTAAAGAATCCTAAAAGCAGCAACAATCAAGTATTAACAAACCAAAATTAAGAACAACTATTTATAACTAAAGGTCAATATTTACAAACTCAATTAGTCCTAAACTAAAAAGAAAATCAACTCCAAAAAAAATTACCCCTAATTTTTACTACAAAAACACGTATTAACATAGGTATATTAAAGGAAAAACAAAAAAGTTTGAACCTATACCTTCTCACCCCCACACTTAAGAGGCACATTACCTTCAATGTGTGAGTGAGTAAAGTTTCCTAATCAGCACAAATCATATGTACAGAACAAACAACAACAAATATGTACACAAAGCACAAAGATAACAAGAATTGAACAAGAAAATTGTACAGAACAACACTATAAAACTAAGCACAATTGAACACACAATGTACATGGACATAACTAGAAAAAAAAACTAGACTAAATCTATAAAGCTACAAGAAAAAGAAAACTTCAAATTGGCCACAGATCTAAATTAATCTTCTTTATTTTTATGAAAAACAACATATGTCCTATTCTACTATTTATGATACTTACTAAGACTACCCTAACTATCAGAAAGAACCTAAAGCTACAATTGAAGAGAAAGGAAGAGAATTGGCTTATTGGTTTTAGTCTCTTGTGCTCATCCACTCTTTTTAGCAGTGTATCCATGGCTGCATCACATTCCTCCTTTCCAACTCTCTATTGCAGAAACAATAGCTTTCCATTTAAGACTGGTTGTTGGTTCTACACTCTCCAAGCACATTTCTACAACAACCAAAGCTCTTCATTCAACTGCTGCTGGTCTTGTAAGTTCCAGGTTCTTTGAGCAGCACTAACACCATCTCCTGCCTTTACCAAAGTTGTCTCAATGTCTATAGCTTCCTTTAGATGATGGACAATGCTAGTCATGTTAGTTGCATCAACAAAATCAAAATCAATGTTCATAGTGAATCATCAAACAATGCAACTTCATCCAAATTGAAATCAGAATCGTCCATCAGATCATCAAGCAGTTTATCAGAAATTAATGCATTACAATCAAAACAACTACTATCACGCATTTTAATCTGGCTTACCACAACAATTTCATCCAAAATCTCATAATGATCAGGCATAACAACAGAAATATCAAGCTGAGGTTTCACAGATTAAGTAGGCAAAGAATCAATAATAGAAAAATCACTCTACACCTCACTCAGCCAAACAAATAGGGAGTTCAAGTTTGGACTCAACATGTACTGGCTCCTCAAAATTGATCTTACCAATCTCCATCAATTCAGCACAGTCCATCAAACTATCATCAAAACTGTTATCAAGATTAGTGCACACATCATTAACAACATCAGGAATATCCATATGTTCTACAGCAAATATTGAATCCAAAATGTGAGTGTGTGCATGCATATCAGTAACAGGATCCAAGGCAGGTTTTATTGGTTCAAATCTTAAAAGATCAAAAGCATTGAAATCAATTTGAACCTCAGGCACATAAATAGAAATGTCAAGTTCAGAATAAACCTGCACTATTGGCTCATCAGCTACCTCATCATGATTCTCACCAGATAGCTTGCTCAGCAGCTTTCTTGTCTCTGTTGGGGTCTTGTCTAGTAAAGAACCTCCAGTTGCTGCATCAACCAACACCTTGTCTTTGTAAAGCAAGTCCTCATAAAAGTAGACCAGAAGCCTGGGCTCTGAAATCTGGTGGTTGGGGCAAGATGTACAGAGCCCATTGAACCTCTCCCAGTACTCAACCAGACCTTCCTCTTGAAATTGTCCAATGGTTGTGATCTCCCTCCTGAGGTTAGCTCCTTTAGCTGCTGGAAAGTACTTGTTGAAGAACCTCTACTGCATCTTTGGCCAATTCAAAAAGGTTGTTGTTGGTATAGAAACTAGTCTCTTGCTGCACCTTGTAGACACATTGGAAATGTCTTCATCATCACTGCTTCCTCTGGAACTCCACCAGGCTTCATGGAGGAACACACCGAGCTTAACTCTTTAATGTGCTTGTGTGGGTCTTCATGTGCTAGCCCATGGAACTTGGGTATCCTCTTGATCAACTTATACATCCAATCTTGAGAATTAGCCATCTCTTCAAGTCTGGTACAGATCCTGTCTAAACCTGGATTTCACTTCAATCACAGGTTATAATATACCAAGGACACAAGAATAGCATAGAAAACCACCACTGTTTTCAGATTTTTAACTTTTCAAAAACTGAAGCTACATGAACTTACAAGGCTAACTCTACATTCTAAACTTAAGTCGCCAAAGTCCCCCGCAACGGCACCATTTGTTGAACAGCTTTTGGTCGCACAAAAGTCAACAAACCTAAATTCCCCATTAATGTAATATAGGGGCAACCTAGGGTATCAATCCAAGGACTTGGTACTTATTAAGCTAGAATTGTAGAATTAAACCTAATTATTTATTTACTAAAACTAGGTGGGGAAAGAAAAATTAAATCTAAAGAAAGAAACTAAAAGACTATGCAATGCATGATACTTAATATAGATTGATGCATAATGCAGATATGAACCTAAGCTGGAATGAAGGTGTTAGAATTATTGGTTATTGTGTATGAGTTGTGTTCAAGTGTGTTCCAACTAAGAGTGAGTTGGAAAGGAGTGTGGTTAGTTACTTTGTTTTTTTATAAATGTAAGTGTAGAGGTGTTTAAGACCTCAAGTAATACATATTCCTGTATTCCATTTTAACATGGTATCAGAGCAGGTTCTCTGATCTCTTCTGGTGGTCTTTGCTGTCTACCGGCAGCCGGCCGCCATAGCTGCCAGCAGCCCCTAAAAATTTCTTCCCTCTCTTCTTTTATGATTTCCTGCGATTTCTCACTAGGAGTGGAGGCCAGGTTTGATGACTCAATCCTCTTCTTGACTCCATTATTCACATTTTTTTTTTATTTTTTCTCATTTTTCTATAAATTTTTTTTTTCTTTTCTCATCTTGTCTCGTTTCTTTTCTCTCTATTTACGACACAACTGTAAGAGACAAGATACACAACATATTTACAAACACAAAATAAGAAGAGGAACCAACTAGCCAATTCATCAGAATCCCTAAGGAGACCACACTTCTTCCCAAGACACTTTCAAAGCTCCAAAATTCCCTAAGGTTAAGGTACTCATGGTTTTTCACTTAGGGCTAGTATATGAGCTTCAAAACAAGGAAAGAGGAAAGCGTAGGCTCAAAAGGGTATCAAAGGATCAAAACAAGGTAAGCATATTTGGCTAGAGAGGCTCAAGAACAAAAATGCCTTTATCACTTCCAAACATGCATATCAATCAAGAATTATCAAGAAGAGTCAAGCCAAGGCATATGCGCAAGAAATCAAGAGACATATCACACACAAGAAAGAACATCAAGTGGCTCAAATTCTCACACAGGGTATTTGTCGCAATCAAATCAACCTCTTAAACATCATAATCATCTTCCAAGCAGAGAAAAGCAAAGATTTCAAGCCAAGTATCAATGAAGTGAAAGACACATCTACAACCAAACAAAGTCCAGAAATCAAGAGAAACATGTAAAATTGTACACAAGACACACAAAAACTACCTAGAAAAGAAAAAATTTAACACACCAAACAAAAACTAACAAAGAAAAATCAGAATCTTCCCCAATAGACCACACTTAAACTACACAGTGTCCTCAATGTGTCATAAGCATAAGATTAGAAATCAGAACAGTGAACAGATCATGGACAAGTGTAATAAAAGTGGGGAAAGGGGGAGAAGGAAAAAAGAAAACTCCCCTGGTCATGGTGGCAGTTGCCAATTTTGGACTATTAGGGAGATGTTTTCCACCATAGGATCTAGCAAGGAATTTGTGATGAAGAATTGCTTCATACTCCAGATTTGATCTAGCAGGGAGATATCATCCATAGCTGGATCTAAGAAGTGATTGTTGATGAGTGGATTCAGTTGGTGCCTATTGATCTTGAAGCTTTTGTCAGTGCATGGAGAAACAATATCAATAACAGGCTCAGATTCATGTTCAGTGCATGGAGAATAAATATTCAGATGTGGTAGCAAAAAGTGGTTCTCATCATGCACAGAGGGAGAATTAAAAGCATGCTCATCAACAATATAATTATCAACATACCCCTCAACAACATAATCATCAACAACACAATCATCAACAGAATAATCAAATTGAGGTATGTTCACCTCCACTTCTCTAAAGATTGGAAAAGTGGTGGAAGATGAAAATGGTCTACCTGGCTCACAATTGCTGCTTATACTTGTCTGGTCCTCAAAATCGTCATCAGGATCTATCTCCTCAATCGCAAGAGTAGGGACATCTGAAGGTAGGAGAGTAGGTGACACAGTGAGCACATGACTCTGGTTCCCATCCCCTATGTGGATGACACTAACATCATCAAGAATCTTAACAGTCTGAAATGGAGATACCTCTAATTCTTGAGACTGTTCTTGATTAAGTTGAGTGGCCATCTGCCCTATCTGATCATTCAAACTCTGAATGGACGCTTTGGTCTCTTGCATGAACTGAATGTTCTGCATGGCCATCTACTTCAGTAACTCCTCCAATGTAGGTTCAGAAGTAGAAGGCTGAGGAGATATTCGGGCAGGAGCATCATGTTGCTGACTCTGGTATTGCTGGACTGGTGGAGTCATACAAGCATTTTGAGATGGTGCTTTCTGATATTGTTGTGGAGCATCATACCATCCCAAGCTAGGATCATTCCACCCAGGATCGTTGTTGTAACCATATTGCACAGGGGAGAATTCGCTCAAAAACTGATGCTCAAGATCTTCCCAACTGGTAACGGATCCTGGAGGAAGACAATATTCCCAATCTTTCGCTGCTCCTTGTAATGGGTGTGAAAATGCTCTTATGAAAATGTGATCATCCGGGACATCTGGAGGTTTCATTGTAGAGCAAATGAGATAGAACTTCTCTAAATGTTTATGTGGGCATTCACCTGCAAAACCATGAAACTGGGGCAGCAACTGTATCAATCCAGTGTTGAAAACGCAACGAATATCCTCCTTATCAAGTGGAACCGGCTCCCAAGGAGCACTCTCAGGAGTTAGAGGATGAGTCATATTGTTCTCAACATAGAAATCAGCAGAATATACATGAGGATTGTACTCAAAGTTAGATGCAGAAGGAGAATCATAATTATAGGCACAAGCAGAAGAAGCAGTATTCACATAATCAAAATAGGTAGACATGGTGAAAGAAGGGGGAAGGTAGAAAAGAAATGCTAAAAATTATGAAACAAACAAAGATCAACACAATTAAACATGCGACACACACACACAATAACACACACATAAAACAAAACATCAAGCACCCTCTACAGGGTCTCACTATGCGAGACAACTCGCATAGCGACTCTACATCATCTACAGAACGCAAATTCTGCAGAATCACACACTCATACCAGCCCTTACCATTTCTAAGCCTATTGGCCAACTTCCAAAGCCTCTAATGGTTGATAAAAACCTAATTAAACTTATCTAATTGATTTTACTCATTCCTACAGTGATTCTTAAGTGATTAAGACCTAATTTCCTTCTTAAAACACTAGTTTCCTCAACTTAGGGGCTAAATTCTAATTCTACCATTTTTAGCTTGTTCTAAACCAGTTTTATGATCCTAACAAGTCCCAAATGACTTGCCTAAGATGTCCCAACAGCCCAATTGTGCCCAGAACCCCTACTTCCAAAAATCACTACCTCACTTCCTCTCAAGTGACCCAAAACCCTTACAGAATACCAATTTTGCCGTACATTTACTGTTACAGCATGTCTCTCAGCCCAAACACATCAACATAGACATTATAGAATTTACATACATCTCAAAACAGTTTACATACATTAAAGTCCAATTTCACAGTCATTCAACCCAGCACATGCAATTGAATCTTTCCAAGTCCAAACACAACATCAACAACACAACAGTACAAAACTCAACATACAATTCATGCAACTAATTAAAGAAACATTCTAGCTCCCCTTACCTTGGAGTAAAACCGCACAACTCACTGAAATGCCCTAACGGTACCTCTCACAGCAAGAACCTGAACAATGCCCTACAACTACCGAAATGGTGATGGAAACAACTCTTAGAGCTAGAACTGAGTAGAAATGGAAGAAGGGAAAGCAAGAAAGCACATGCAACCAACAAGAATGTACGTCTCCGTTCAAGAATAAAGAGGAGGTTGCATGGAGGGACTTACCAACTTAGAACCCAAAACCAATCGGATGATTTTGAAGCCCTCTACGTCGCAGACGTTTTGGCACCACCTAAACAGAAATCCAGTGACTCAGAGTGAAGAAATGGAAGAGAGAAGACAAGGTGTGGTAGAGAGAAGGCAGAGAACTTGAGGAACTGAGTTCTTAGAGAGATAGTAGTGTGCTTGAGTTAATGGGTCAAAAGGTTTGAAAAGCTCATTTAAAGCCTGATTCCTTTAACTTAAGACACCATTTTGCTCTATTTTCAAGTCCTCACAAAAAGCATAGTTATTAAAAATATATTTTTAGAATAAGTTTGTTTTTTATTAAATTTGGTTTAGTGACCATATAATAAAATATACTTATAGTGTTTTTAGTGTTTGTTTTTGAGTTGTTTTGAAAATATTTTATATTAATTATATATTTATATATATATATATATATATATATATATATATATATNTCGTCAAGAAGGAGACCGATCGGTTTGCGCCAACACCGATCGGCCAACAGGAGGAGTTTGGAAGCGAGCGAGCGGCCCAGACGCGTCAGCAGGTTAGTCTCTCGGTCCCTAAAAGTATCTACCGAAACAGTTACTAAATATTTAAAATCGATTACTATTCAAAATAATAATTGACTTACTAACTAATCATCATCAGTTACTATCTTCTTAATTAGTGATGCATACATATGGTGACAAAAGTCAATGATCAATTTAGTGATCAACTCAATTTGAAATTAGTGACTTAATCAGTAGCTGATTTACAAACCGAAATTAGTATTTAATTCTTTACTATTGTGTATTGAAATACCATTCACTACAAATTACTATAAAAAGTGATTTCTCTATATTTGTTTACTTTAAAAGTGTTTTTAGGTTATAACATTATGTTTTTAAAGCTTAGTTTATTTCAGAAATAGAAAAACATTAATTTTCTATCAATAATCGTAAATAGATTCATAATTGTATTTAATATTTTCAATCAAAGTGTTATTGTCAAATAAAGGTATTATATTATATACATTCATAATAACTTTCTTAAGAAAAGTATATGTACAATATGTTAAAAGACACATGAACCTAATAAATTTAAACTTAAATTAGAATCATTCTATATCAGAAGTAAAATATTAATTAATATTATTCTTATGACTTAAAAAGAATGCAAGACTTATCATTTTAAATTTTACGACAGTTAAACATGCTTGAATGTAAGTGTTTTATAAGAAGTCATAAGTTTATGGTCCAGTTCAATCCATTGAATAGTAAACCGAATAAAAGTAAAGAAATAAGTAACTTAGCATGCAAAAAGTGAGAAAGATAGCAGTCAAGAAAAAAAAAAGATCCAAAAGAAGAATGAATTGAACAGAAAACATTGTTAAGCCATAAAATAAAGTGTAATCGAGATAAAAATATATTAAAAAAACTTGATCGAGACAAAGAAACATTGAAAGAAGAACACTTGAGAATTGAAACAAAATCGTGAGTGCAGTTATATGTAATAATTATCGTTGAATGTGGAATCAACTACAACATATGATAGTATATGGATAATTTAAAGCACCTAGTTAAACTTATGTACTTTTTTTTTCTTTTAATTTTTTATTTTATCGGTTAGCAAAGAAAGAAAAATATAAATAGATATTTTAAATATAAATAATGGTTGCAAATTATGAATATAATTTCAAACCGTTTGATAATGTCGCGAAAAAAAAAATATTAATCTAGATTGGTTGTAGCAATAGGTCATCGTTTTCATTTATTTACTTTACCAATTTTTTTTTTCTATGCTTACGGTTGTTGTGTTGTGTGTCTTCCCTTCCTTTACCTCATATCTCTTTCTTTTTTCCTCTTTTTTATATTGTTATTTTTATTTTCTTTTTCTTTTTACTCATTTTCACTTAATATATAAAAAATATTGTCAAGATTTAACAAAAGAATTAAATCCATGAATTTATTCGTAAAATTATTAATAAATTTTACAAAATATAATTACCAATGAATTTATTAATGAGTTTTTAAAAAATAATTAGCAAAAAATTAAAAAAAAATAATAATTTACTGATAACCTGGAACTTTTGTCCATATATCAAAATACTTTTTCTTTCTACAAAAGTGTAACATCCCATATTATATAAAAGCATATAACATAGTAAGTCCACATTTTAATAAAAAAAAACAGTTAGAGTAGACTATAAATAAAGTTGTTAAGCTTACAGTCATCACAAATTAAGTCATAATTTAAAACTTAAACATACTAGAGTATTTCAAAATACAAGATATAATTGATAGAATCCTAAGGAGACTAGGTAACAACATCATTTTCCTCCAAAGCCTGCTCTAGGGGCACCTCATCCGTCTCTGCTCACATCCAAGTGGACGGTCATTGCAAAAGAAAAGCATACCCAAGCAAAACACAAACACACAAGTAAGGGTGAGCTAGATATAAAAATCATGTTATAGCAGTCACAGGCAACATGCAAGTAAATACAAATACACTACACTACACAAACATGACTTGTTGCACTTAAACTTGACTCGTTCGGACTTAGAATGATTGTCGAGCTATGGCGAGTCGTGCACTCGTGGTGGCCTCTATTGCTTTGCAAAGCCATTACCAATGGGTTTCACCCTACCACACTCACGAGGTTAGTCCGTTATCACTCACCTTGAGCCATACTGGAAGCACCCAAGACTAGGATCTCCTGCTACTACTCACGACATGGTTCAATCCTCTCTACTTGAGAATGATCGACCATTGTAGTTTTAGGATAACCCCAAGACTGAGCTACCATGCAAATCATTCTAAACACTAAGGGCACCACCAAGTAACCTCCTTAGAGATCCATGGAATTACGTCCATCAACCATACTTGTTACATTCAACCACCAAACATGTTTCATACCATCACATATTATCAGTTCAATAACATTACTACCATCATGCTATGCATTTCAATCATTCCACACACTTGGTTCACCCAAAGCAAGAGCAAAAGAGAATATTGAACCCAAAAGGGTTCGCACAACGCACCCTATTCGCAAGACGAGACAGGATAATCTCGCACAGCGCACCCCTTAATTCGCCATGCGAATTATCTCGCAGCATGCATCAGACTTCCAACCTCTCGCATAGTGCACCCAGGTCGCTATGCGAGATCCCAGACAGAGACCAACCCCTCTAAAACTCTCGTTATGCGCCCCACTCGCCTTTCGAATTAAATGGGCAATGGTTTCAAACCACCACCAGTCGCATAGTGATAGGATTCGCCAGGCAAATCCACAAACAGAGAGCAACACCCTCTGATCATTCGCACAACGCACTAGCTCGCACAACGAATGACTCAGACAGTGAACACCCTCTACAGGGTCTCGCTATGCGAGACAGCTCACATAGCGACTTTGCATCATCTGCAGAACGCAAATTCTGCATAATCACACACTCACACCAGCCCTTACCATTTCTAAGCCTCTTGGCCAACTTCTAAGACCTCCAATTCGTGTATTGAGCTCAATTACACATGCTTAGATGATCCTAACCCTCCCCATTACTAATCTAAAGTGATTAAGATCAAGTTTTATCTTTTAAAACATCAATTTCTATACTTAAGGACCCAATTTCAATTTTACCACTTCTAACATGTTCTAGTCCAGTTTTATGATCCTAACAAGTCACAATTGACTTGCCTAAGCTGTCCCAACAACCCAAATGTGCACAAAACTCCTAATTCCCAAAATCACTACCTCACTTCCTCTTAAGTGACCCAAAACACTACAAATCCTCTTAACTTTCAACATACAGTTGCTACCACTAGTGCAAAAAGGACTTTCGACGTCCGTTATTTTGGGCTTTTAATGTCTGATCTCTGTCCGACGTCTATATGGGTGACATTAATGAGACGCCGGACCCTTTAAGTCCGACGTCTATAGAGAAGTCGGACCTATATAGGTCCGACGTCTATATAGACGTCTGATCCATACAGGTTAGACGTCTCTGAGGTTGCTCCTGACTCATGGTGATTCGAGT